ACATATAGTCTTTAGGATCCATCTATACTCTAAAACAAGTTCACTTGAAAAATGTTTAAACTCAAGATATGAGTTAAATTACTCAGTGGATAAAATATTTCTAAATTATAATAATTGACATTTAAAAAAATATATTAGAAGGAAGTAAATAGTTAAAATGAGACGGTAAAGAAATCAATTTTATTTTTATTTATATTTATTTTATTTAAAGCATTTGTCAATGAAATTCGTTGTTTAAATTCTACTTATGGTATAAGCTTATAACATTCCAAAATCCCCATAAAAGGTAAGCGACTATTTTCATTTTCACTTTCATTTTACGTGAACTGGCACATTGTTTTCCTAGCCAGTTATCATATAGGGGTGACCTCTCATATGTATATTGATATATTATATTTTATTCTTCTTTTATTTATCCTTTGCTTTAAGCATTAAACCATATAAGAACATAAAATTTTTCATTTTTGAAGGCAAATGCTAAAAATATTTGATACATCTGCATTTTAAAAGACTGTATTGAAACAATTTAAAACATTTACAAGTAATTTCAAAAATTTAAAAAGAAATTATTGTAGAATGAAAACATTATTATCTATCTATTTAGTACCGTCTATTGTATTTTTTTCTCGATTGAAATTAATTTTTTGATGTACCTATATTAACACATTTGATTTAATTAGCTTCTATCAATTTTATTTTTCTTTCTTGTTAATTCTAATTTTATTTCTACTATTATTTTATTTTTAATTTTTTTTTTTTTTTGCACTTTATCGAATTACTTTGCTATTTGTTATTTAAAATAAAAATATAATGTTATGAATAATATTATAGCATAATTAAATCAGTTAACTTTCAAATTTTCAATTGAATTTCCTAAACTTCTTTTGATATGCTTCAATTAAGAGCAATTTAATTAGGTTTTTAAATGAAGGGTTATTAAATTTTTTTGCTTTAGTCTAGCACAATTTGATTAGGCAAATTACAATTTTGTATTTAAATGGAGCTTTATACTGGAGTTTTCCTTTTATTTTTTTCGATTTCAATTTCCAAATCAAAAGCCCTAACATAATTTTATTAAGTTCAGAATTTTGAGTTAGGGTTGTTCTAAAATATTAACAAATCAATTGTTTTTCAAGTTCTTTAGTAAAATGAAATAAAAATAATAATAAATAGAAACTCTAGGTTTCTATTTAACATTTCTTACCTAAGGACGCTAAATTCCCATCTATTCTTATTGTTGAGGTGTTTCCTTGGGTACTGAGATGTGTTAATTATGTGAAGTAATTGTCCTAGTTTCCTATCAATATTTTTTATTATTTGTTCTTTTTTATATTTTTCGGGGTGTTTTTTGTGTAATGTCTAGGTAACAAGCTAAAGTTAGGGTCAAATGAGGTGCTACACAACCATATGCCCAAGCAAGTAGCCAAGTTGAGCGTTGGGCGCTCCTGTGCCCATAATTGGGCGCTCCTATGCCCATACCTCATTTTGAGAGTTGGGTGCTACTGTGCTCATGATAGCACCCCATAGTGAGAGCTAGGCCCTCTTGCACCCATAAAAGGGGCGACTATGCACTCCTACATCACTGTTGTGCTCATGATAGCACCCCATACTGAGAGCTAGGCCCTCTTGCACCCATAAAAGGGGCGACTATGCACTCCTACATCACTGTTGTGCTCATGATAGCACCCCATACTGAGAGCTAGGCCCTCTTGCACCCATAAAAGGGGCGACTATGCACTCCTCCATCACTGAGGTTTGGGCGCTCCTGCGCCCAGCATAGGTGCCCCTCGCATTCTACTTACCGGCACACTACTTCATTCAAAGGGTGCAAAACTCTGGCGCTGCACTTCGGAACTCCAACACCGAAGGGAGTTATATGCTAGTTCAACGATCTGAGGTTTCATCCAGTGGGTCAACGTGAGCCGATTGATCAAGTGGATGATCGAAGGATGAGCGAGCTAAATAAGAAGGGAAGACAGACGAACAGGCTCTCTCTCATTTTTTTTTTGTTCAGAGCAAACTATTTTGGCTTATTCGGTAGTTCTTTTTGTGCGTGTGTGGAGTGAAATTGTAGAGCGTGGAGAGTACTTGTGAGCAACTTTATAAGCAAACACTGGAAAAAAAATTGGAGCATGACATAGCATGATCGTGAAGATATTTTTTGTTTGTTATTCTTTTATCAAAGTTCGTGTAATTACTTTAATTTGATGGAAACAAAGTAGGATTTTGTATTTCAAAGTATGACTAGGAACTACAAGTTATGTTCCTCTCCTGATTTATTAACTAGGAACTTTAGGTTTGGGGAATTTTTCTTTTGTTTGTTTAACCTGTGGTTTTGGTAAAAATTTATCTTTCAAATCTTTATTTACATAAAAACTAGTTATTTGTCTTGTTAACATGTTTTGTGAACTTAGATATGTGGAAGTATCCTTAGCGGAACATCTAATTCAAATTTCATTAGACCATGAGAATAGGAATATTTCTCGAGATGATCACTATCGTCTAGGAAAATTAATCATTCAGGGATTCAACTTGATGTAGGGAACTCACTAGTAGAATTTCCTAGCTTCCTTATTGCCACGGGAAGGGGCTAAAGAAGAAGTTTGCTCTTGATAATCGCCTATTGTTGTCACTTCGTCAAACTTAGGTTCTTAGGATTCAAATCAAGTGGGAAACCATCTCTCATTATAGTCTCTTCACAAGTTTGAATTTGGACTTCGGCTTTGCAAAATTAAGCTTGACACTTTATTAAAATCAACAACGATCAAACACTCAAGCTAGGTTTTAATTTAGTACGAATAAACTTTTCTTTATTTGGGATTTACTCCGCTCTTTGTGAGATTGATACACGGAACTCAATTCCGTATTTTACTTACACGACACGTATATTTGTATGATTGACCAGTGCGTCGCTGCATTTTTTCATATCAAGTTTTTGGTGTCTTTGCTGGAGAGCGATGTTGATTTAAAATTAGGTTAATTTTAGTTGAATATGTAAGGCTTAGACTTGAAAATCATAGTGTGACACTGTTATTTGCATGTTAGTTTTTCATTTTGTGTGTTTATAAAAACTCTGAAAATGTCTTTTATATTGTTCCTAATTTCGTGCACCCTTTTTGTTTCATATCAATTATTGTTAAAATTTGTGAGAATAGTTTGCTTTCATTTTTGCACGTTTGGTTGCTTATTTTTCCTACTTAAAGTTGTTTTTGTGTTGCAATTTGTTAGCTTAGGGTCACTCAACTAGTTCAACCTAGTTAGTGTATGCATAGTACGGTACCTTTGGATCTTGAACCCTATGACCCTAAGTTAAAAAACAGAACAAAAAAAATCAAAAAATTAAAAAGTCTTAAAAAAAAAACTAGGAGAGACAACACATATACCCCATGATGAAACCAATGCTTCCAGACCCAACAGAATGCCTAGATCTCTTAGGAAAATTGCAAACTCTACATTAGATTAAATGCACCTAAGTATCAATACCCCTGCCGTCGAAGCCAACTCGTTTGAACTTAAACCCGCCATCATTTAGATGATTCTAAATAATCAGTTGGGGGGACACCCACGGAAGATCTTAATCTCTATTTAGCGAGTTCACTAGAACTTTGTGCTACATTTCGCTATGAAGGTATTTTCAACTATGCAATTAGACTTAGAATTTTCCCTTGCTTACTAAACGAAAAGGCTGAAATGTGGCTAAATTCCCTTTCTCACTATCACTCCTTTGTTCGTGTGTGATTGAGGAAACAAGGGTATTGTACCCTTTTGATTAAGGCTTTCGAGGGCGGTGGGAGTTCTCAATCTACACCTGTTGTGCAAGGCGGGTAATTAATTGTTTTAAGTTAATCAAAATTGGAAATGATTATTTAGGGGACTATTTGGGCACTTTATTATACTAACAGAATAATCATATACAATGATCTCAGTTCCTGAAAAAGTTTCAGTGATTTTCAATGCTCGTTTTGATTTACATAGGTGGTAAGTATTAACCATTTATTTTTGCACGAGGAACTTTCTAAATGATGGAAGATCATGCATATAATGTAGTTTGTTGTACTGCTAAAAAAAGTATTTAAAACAACCAAATGCAACATAACTGATCAAGAATAAAGATTTGTATCTAGGGTGAGTATTTTATAGAAAATGTCTTTTGAGTCCTACTCTGACGTGTAGGAAAATTTGATACTTAGATTTAACAGCTCCATTTCCTTATCTCATTTTTTGTTTGGTTGGAATAGCTACATCTAATTTTATTGCAGCTCAAGAAAAATATGCAGTTTCATGTAATTAAATTTTAACCTCATGTGAAGGCACCTAAATCTACTCGGTCTTCTGCTGGAAGGGCGTCTAAATTGCATGGAATTTCTCTACAGCAAACTGTGAACACCCATTGGGAGAGCATCATTGAATTTCTGAATTCACTTCTGGTCCAACTACGCCAAAATCATGTGAGTTCATGATCTTTGTGAAATTAAGTCAGTTTTACATTATTTCATGTTTTTTTCTGATTGCTCCCTCCCTCTCTCTCTCTCTCTCTCTCTCTCTCTCTGCTTTCAACAAAAACTGTGTAGTTTGGCCTTTATTGCTTGTGTTAAAAGTAGATTAAAATGAAATAATGAAGCATTAAGGTATATAGGCGCGTCTGCAGTCGGCTTCACCTTTTCATGTGCTTGCACAGTAGCATTGTTAAATATAGTAGCGCTAAATATAGGTATTGATCAGATAGGAGGCATAAATTGCAACGCAAGGGTACAAGCAAGGGTACAAATAGAAGGCATTTAGGCTACCATTTATGCCATCAATAGAACGCAAAATAATTTACAATTTCTTCCATGTAATATGAATTGAAATATTCAGCAAATTGTGTGAATGTAATTTTAAGCAGCTAATATCTCATACACTAACAAGTGTCAGCATATATTTTATATTGTAAAGCATCCCGGGAGAAGGTATAATTGTATATTTTAATTCTTAATATGGAAAATATGCTTTTAATGAGCTATTTTCTTGCTATAGTTTGAAATGCTAGTCTTAAATTTCAAGTGTGAAGGGTTAGTGTTGGTGTAGTTCCCAGTGATTGATTTCAGTTGTAGCAATGTTTTATGGATGTTTCCTTTCTCGAGGAGCTGAAATCTGCGGATATATGTGTGGTTGATTTTATTTCCTGTTTTTTCTCTTTTAACTTTAAGTTTGATTAAAATATCTATGGATTTTGATTCATTGCTGCAATATTTTTTTAGTTATCTTTTTCTAACCAAATGTCTCATAAACCATCTGGAGACCACCAGTTAAAAAGAATTTTATAATTATTAAATTTTAACTATAATAATTCATTTATATCATGATCCTAATCATGAAAATGATCATTATTATCCATAACTTTATCCCGAGTATCTGTTTTTTTTTTTTCTTCCGAGCATTCTTTCCTCCCAAATTTTCATGCTGAGTGCTTGAAGACACAAATACAACAACAAGCATCCCAGTAATGGGGTGGGCTACATGAATTCTTTTTCTTCATTGGGTCCTATTGAGTATATCACTTTTTAAGCATAATTTTTACCCATTTATCTCTAGTCTAGGTATTTCTATTTTGGAAGATTTACATACATATCACTCAATTCCTATGTATTTACATATCTAACATCTAAATTTCAATTTTTACCTACATGCCACCCTACCTATGCATGAAAAGGTGTATTTTACCTTTTAGAAGTTAAAATGATTGTTTTTTTATGTAATATGAATGATTTTGGTGGTAAATATGTAAATACATAGGAAATAGGAGGTATGTATGTAAATGCCCCTTCTATGTAAATGCCCCTTCTTTTTAACAACTTCTGCATTATCATCTCATTTGTATAGCTTATGCTATACATTGTACATGCTGTTAACTGTTTTGTTTATTTTTTATGCCTTAGTTTAAATTGGTGTGATTCCCACGGTTTCATTTATGTGTTTATCATAAAAGTTTAATTGCCATAATCTATTACATTTGTATTCCACAGTGGGTTACTTTCTTTCGCAGTCTCTGATATTTTTCTCTTGAGATTTCATTTTATTCTTCTAAACTGTTAAATATATAGGTACCCTCGTTCTTTATTCGTAAACTCATTACTCAGCTCTACTCCTTTATGAACATCCAACTCTTTAATAGGTAAATGAATTGCTTCCTGGGTTAGCACCATCTTTTCAAATATTTCATAATATATATTTGATCGATTTTGTTCTCTTATTTTTCTGTTAAATATTAGTTTGTTGCTGAGAAGGGAATGTTGCACATTTTCCAATGGGGAGTATGTGAAATCAGGACTTGCGATGTTGGAAAAGTGGATTGCTGATGTTACTGAAGAGGTAATGATTGATGTTTAGCATTTTGATTGTCCTCGCCCTGATTATTTCGCTTATTATAGTTTGCAGGAACCTCCTGGCATGAGTTAAACTATATCAGACAAGCTGTCGGTTTTCTGGTAGTATGGCTGTCACCAATTTACTTAGTTTTAGTTAAAGATTTAACTTTCTCATGAATTTAATTTTTCCTTTTATTGCTACAGATAATACACCAGAAAAAGAGAAAGACTCTTGAAGAGATTAGACAAGATCTTTGCCCTGTATGTTCTTAATTTCAACTTCACTGATCCTTGGAAATGTTGGCTCTTCATAATTTAGGATGAATGGTGTCGCAACTTTTTGTGGGAATGATATTTTGGATTTGGCTTTATTAATATCTACAGGCGCTCAGTGTAAGGCAAATTTATCGGATTTGCACAATGTATTGGGATGATAAATATAGCACACAAAGTGTTTCAAATGAGGCATGTTCATTTTGATGCCTTAAAACTCACTTAAATCTTATTTTTTTGTTTGTTTGTTTGTTTTTTCTTATTTATTATTTTTAATAACTGTAAGACATGAATTATAGGTTGTTGCCGCAATGAGAGAAATGGCTAACCAAGATTCTCAAAAACTCATGTCAAATTCGTTTCTTCTTGATGATGATATGAGGTGTGTTAATTTCCTCTCTGCAATTCTTGTAATGTTTATGCTTCTTCTGACAGCTATTTTGTAGCAGTAGGTTTGCTGAATCTTTTATTGTTGGAAATTTCATAAATAATCTCGAATATTGTAGTACTTCAATGTTCACATAATGGCACAAATCTTAGTTTTAATGAAATATTTTTATTTATTAACTACTAAAACACAGATAATTTAATTTTGTTTGTCTGTCTATAGTATTCCATTCAGCACTGAAGATATATCAAAGGCCATTCCCCCTATTGATCCCATTGATGTTCAACTTCCTAAATCACTCAAACATTTTTCGTCGGTACAGTTTCTTCTGGAGCGATCCGATGTAATTCAGGCTTAAGGGTAAGTAAAACTTTAGCTGGAGATCAATCATTTGTATATTAGAAGATTTACATACACATACCACTCAATTTTTATACATCCGTATATCTAGACATCTGAATTTTAATTTGTACATTTATGCCACCTTAGCTATGTATGAGAAAGTGCCATTCACCTTGTTGAAGTTAAAATAGTTGCATTTTTTTATGTATGTGAAATGAAGGATTTTGGTGGTATTAATGTAAAAGTAAAATTTAGTTGTTAGATATGTAAATACATTATGTGAAATGAAGGATTTGGGTGGTATGTAAAAGTAAAATTTAGTTCTTAGATATGTAAATACATTGGAATTGGGTGGTATGTATGTGAAGGCCCCTTGTATATATTGAAAGATTGATTAACTCTCTTTTATCAAGAATAGATATGCGGCCCCTTGTATATATTGAATGATTGATTAACTCTCTTTTATCAAGAATAGATATGCGGAGAATGGGTGAAGACTAGCCTGAGTTTTGGTCGCCTGTATGTATATTTATGTAGATAGCTACATTTTTTTTTTTTTTTGCCTGCCATTTTTGTAGGGCGAACTTATATTTATCTGACAATTTTGGTGTAATAGAAAGAGAATGTAAATTGTACTAAAATTATTGCATTTATAGGTTAAGTGTCAAGCTTAACTTTTCAATTTGCTTCCGAAGTTTTGTAGAAATGTTGGTTCTGTTATTTCTTTTTCTTATAATAAGCTTCTTTCAACAATTCTAATTTAATCCTGCTGTTTTATGCATTGCCAATGGCTTAGGCTGGTGGTGGAATAAGGAATGTCTCGGTTCTCAAAATAGATGCAAGGAGAAAAATCATTTTTTGAGGGGGAATAAGGAATGTATCGGTTCTCAAAATAGATGCAAGGAGAAAAATCATTTTTTGAGGGGTATTACATACATTCCTCACAACTCCTTTATTTATATTCTTACGCCTATTTTATTTCTATATTTTTATCATCAAGTTTTTATATCACATTAAAAATATAACTATTTGAACTTTTAAAATGTGAAATAAGATGTTTTGATGCAAAATAGCATATGTATTTATTTATTAAAGTTTAGGTGTTAGATGTATAAATATGGTAGGGATTGTGTTGTATGTATGTAAATATATCTTTTTTTCAAGTTATTTTTTTTCTTTGTAATATTATAATTATTTTCATTTTAAAAAAGAGGTTTTTACATGCCAAGGTCCCCAAACAGTCCTATTCCAAGTATTTTATTTACTCACAGAGATCTCTGTCGCACGTACCGTGTTTGGAGGTGTCTTGAAAGAAAGCAGTAGATGAGGGGGAGAGCCGGTGAGAGAGGAGCAGTTTCAATTTTGGTTGGCAAGTGGTCTCTAGCAAGGACAGAGATGGGCATAACAACTTTAGCTGAGGATATTGGGAGGCGAGTGGTTCTGCGAAGTAGGGAGTTGGCAATGGATGAAGCCATTCTTCTGCGAAGTAGTTAAATGTGATTGTATCTCTTACGAACAGAACACCGAGACACGATTCCATGGGATTCGATCCCTTCTCTAAGTAAAGTTATCCTAGGGTGAGGAAGAACGGAAATGGTTGATGGACGAGTGGCAGTCGGCAGGGTTTTAAGGGGGGAATGGCAAGCTAGCCCGACTGAGGAGAAAGGAGGAGCTTCAGGTTTGAGTGAGAAGAGAAGCAACCAATGCGTGTGAAAAGAATGCATGGAGGTGTAACAAGTAAAATGTTTGGAGACTTTAATATGCAGATAGGAGGGTTTGGGGAAAATCCCTTTTAAAAAATTGAATGGTGTTCTAATGATCAATCTGCCAATCAGAAGATTTTAAAAAATTGTGATGTTAAATTGAAGTAAATTTTTTCTAGAGAGCTTGAGCCCTCCTGCAGGAGCAAAAAATATTACATCAGGACTCCTGAGGTAGAGTTATGTTTGGAGTCCACTGATATGAGGACACGTGAATGTGATAGAAAAATTAAAAAAAAAAATTATTTTAGCATAGGAGAATATTTCTCCGGTGTTATTCTGCATTATTCATGTGTTATTCTGTTCTGAGAATATTCTCGGTGTTATAATAGCACATGAATACCAACACAATAACACTTGAATAATGTGGAATAACACAGGAGGAACCGGGCTGGATCACAGGAAAGGGTGTGTTTTCCTTTGAAGTCACGTGTCCGCTTTTAAATGGACTTCGACCATGGTTCTATGTTAGGAGTCATGATGTAATATTTTTCCCTGCAGGAGTGTGTGAGTTCACGGACATTTGAGCACGCGTATGGCCTGATTACGATTGCATTCGATATTAACTTTGCCCAAATCTGTTTTTGCTTTATGTTGTTTCATGGAGGATCAGTTTTCCAACGGTTTTGTTCCTCAACTTTGTTTTCAATTTACGGCCAAAAAAAATATAATGATTTATCTCATAAAATAGTTGTCAAAAATGTACTCGTCGCTAATTATGTACATTTTCATACCTCACTTGACTAGATTTCATAGTCCTTACCCGACCACAACATTCCGTCCAGCCCAGTTGCCAGTGAAGCAGCAGACAACCATTTTAAAGTCGGATTGGTCGTTGAAATTTTTAGGTTTAATTAAAATTGACAATATATATTTTACTTAAATGCTATAAAATAATGCGAATATTTGACGAAAATAAGGAAATTATTTTTAAAAAAAATATTCTTTAATACTTTTAAAGACAAATCTCTTCAAAATGAACTCAAACCATCATTCGAAATATTTTGCATTAAATTTACAAATCAGTATTTAACTTCGATAAAAATGTTCGATCAAAATTAATTACATATAGCACTTTCAAAACAGCTTATTGTACGCAAACAGCTCGTGTTCGGCTCGTTCGCTAAGTTAATGAGTCGAACACGAACAACACGAAAAAATATTTTTTCGTTTGTGTTCGGCTCGTTTTGGCTCGAAATACTACAAATCAATTATATATATTTATCTTTGGTGAGTAGAATTTTTAAAAAATTTAATTGACTAAAATGCTACAAAGATTTATAATCAATTAAAATTATTAAAACCATCCTATTCCAAGTATTTTATTTACTCCCGGAGATCTCTATCATGCGTACAGTGTTTGGAGGTGTCTTGAAAGAAAGCAGCAGATGAGGGGGAGAGTCGGGAGAGTTCGCGGCCGGTGAGAGAGGAGCAGTTCCAGTTTTGGTTGGCAAGTGGTCTCTTGCAAGGACAGAGATGGGCATAACAACTTTAGCTGAGGATATTGGGAGGTGAGTGGTTCTGCGAAGTAGGGAGTTGGCAATGGATGAAGCCATTCTCTGCGAAGTAGTTAGATGTGATTGTATCTCTTACGAACAGAACACCGAGACACGATTCCATGGGATTCGATCCCTTCTCTAAGTAAAGTTATCCTAGGGTTTAAGAAGAGGAAGAATGGAAATGGTTGTTGGACGAGCGTCAGTCGGTAGGGTTTAAGGGGGGAATGGCAAGCTAGCCCGACTGAGGAGAAAGGAGGAGCTTCAGGTTTGAGTTAGAAGAGAAGCAACCAATGCGTGGGAAAAGAATGCATGGAGGTGTGACAAGTAAAATGTTTGGAGTCTTTAATATGCAAATCGGAGGGTTTGGGGAAAACCCCTTTTAAAAAATTGAATGGTGTTCTAATGATCAGTCTGCTAATCAGAAGATTTTAAAAAATTGTGATGTTAAATTGAAGTAAAATTTTCTACAGCTTGAGACCTCCTGCCAGAGCAAAAAATATTATATCAGGACTTCTAACGTAGAGCTGCGTTCGAAATTCGAAGTCCACTGATATGAGGACACGTGGAATTGACAGAAAAATAAAAAAAAATTATTTTAGTGTAGGAGAATATTTCTCTCGTGTTATTCCACATTATTCAGATGTTATTGTGGTGGTATTCACGTGTTATTGTGTTCTGAGAATATTCTCGATGTTATAATAACATAATAACACATCAATACAATCACAATAACATCTGAGTAATGCGGAATAACACAGGAGGAACCGGGTCGGATCATAGGAAAGAACGTGTTTTTCCTTGAAGTGACGTGTCCGCTTGTCAAAGGACTTCATACGTAGCTCTACATTAGGAGTCATGATGTAATATTTTTCCCCTACGGGAGGGTGTGAGTTCACGGACATTTGAGCACGCATATGGCCTGATTACGATTGCATTTGATATTAACTTTGCCCAAATCTGTTTTTGCTTTATGTTGTTTCATGGAGGATCAGTTTTCCAACGGTTTTGTTCCTCAACTTTGTTTTCAATTTACGGCCAAAAAAAATATAATGATTTATCTCATAAAATAGTTGTCAAAAATGTACTCGTCGCTAATTATGTACATTTTCATACCTCACTTGACTAGATTTCATAGTCCTTACCCGACCACAACATTCCGTCCAGCCCAGTTGCCAGTGAAGCAGCAGACAACCATTTTAAAGTCGGATTGGTCGTTGAAATTTTTAGGTTTAATTAAAATTGACAATATATATTTTACTTAAATGCTATAAAATAATGCGAATATTTGACGAAAATAAGGAATAAGGAAATTATTTTTTAAAAAATATTCTTTAATACTTTTAAAGGCAAATCTCTTCAAAATGAACTCAAACCATCATTTGAAATATTTTGTATTAATTTTACAAATCAGTATTTAACTTCGATAAAAATGTTCGAACAAAATTAATTGCATATAGCACTTTCAAAACGACTCATTGTACGCGAACAGCTCGTGTTGGGCTCTTTAAGAAGCTCATGTTCGGCTTATTCGCTGTTAAATATATATATATATATATATATTTTTTTTTTATTTATGTTAAAAGTATTGTTTTTAAGATCATGCCAATCATAAG